GAAGCTTGGCTAAGTGCTTGATATTCTGAGAGGTCTAGGATTTGATTATCAGTAAGATGGAAGGGATGTTATTAAAGAAGACAAGTAACAGCCAACTGCTCTTATATTTTGTTTGCTATGAAATACTGACATTAAGGTACTGTTAAATTTTTTTAAAAGGCATAATTATTTCTTGTTTTCCTGCTCCCTTCATTGCCACTCTGATAGTTCAGTTTTGTTCTTGATAACTGAATGAGGTTCTAGTTGACATAAACTAATGACTGCTAGAAGCTCAACCCAGGCATTTCTGCTGCCATTCAAGGTCTTGGATGTGTAACATCTGTGTAACTCCTTCTATTTACTCAAAGAAAAAGCAATATGTAAGGCTTATATTACGGAACCATTTACATGAAATCTGCAAGAGTGTACAGATATTCTACAATGGTTTTATATCCCCAAAATATATGCTACTGGTTTAATATAGTAGATTAACGTGTCAAATTAAAAGGCAGAAATTAAGATATTTTTGTAAAATAAGTTTTCCTGAAAATAGTTTTGAATCTCTCTTCCAAATAATCTTAAAATACATTCCTGCGGTGAAAGTATAAACTGCAGGTGATGCATTTTATAATGGAAACAGTAGGAAACACTCAACTGCTGTGGCAAGGCACTATACAGCAACAATTAGTACAAGTAAATTAAATGGTTGAAACTCAAACCGATAACACAACAGACAGTTTACATTTAGTCTGACCTAATGTCTTTGACATTAGGTATATTCACAGGAACACAAGTTAATTAAAAAGCAAAAACACCACACCACAACCTAGTATTATTTAATGCATTGTCATTAGCTAAGAGTACAGAAATTCCCTGGCCTTTGAAAGTAACCTCTCCAAGGTCTATTTTTCTTCACGTAACTGACTAACACAAGGGAGTTAAACTATGTGTACATAAATTTACTCTTGCCGTGGAATTCAGCCAGGAAAAACTAATCTACCAGTATTCAAACACCTGTAAAAGCACAGAAAACAGCCTGAACAGCCCTGAACAATATGGACTGCAGAAAGCAAAAGTTCTTCTGCATAAACAGAGCTTTATTGTGCATTTCTGCTAGAATGTTCTTCACTCTTTATAAAAACAGTAAGTGTCGCATTCTGCAGATATACGTTTCACAGCAACAGCAAAAATCAAGACTTGCAAAGTGTTCCACGCAAACACCTATCTGTACTGCAACAGTGCTCAGTAAGGGCTTTAATACCTTTTTAGTTTCCAAATGCCACACGAAACTAAGCAGCAGAAAAACAACAGCCAGAAGCGCCATTGCAATGACAAATCCCCATCCACAAAATATGACTTTGATATGTCAGCGCATTCTTAGAAAAAGTACTTGAGATATTTGAAAGATCTTTTAAAAGAGATTAGTCAATTAAAAGAAAGCCTTGTGAAATGTTACCAGAATTGTATGCAAATTTATAAAAAATATGGCTAAACTAAGTTTTCCTTCTTGCATCTAACAGTTTGTGTAAATTGTACCAGCTGACCTGTTACAAAGCTCCCCTTTACTTCCTATTTCAAAATCTAAAGAGGAAAACAACAGGAAAAAAAGTCCTAACCTCAAAAAGAAACAAACAAACAAACAAACCAACCCCCAAACCAAAACAAACCCCACAAACAAACCACCCCCACATGGAAACACATTTACATTTATACTAAATACATTCTTTTACAAAATAAACTCCATTCCTCTGTGTGCAAGCATGATCTAACCAATGCACTGGAACTCCTAAGCAGCTACAGCATCTTCCAAGAGTGAATTCGAAAGGCCTATGAATCACATAAACCAGGAAATTGCATGCAGATTGCAAATCTTTCTAAAACTAAAATATTTGGAAAAATACTCTCATATGCACAATTGAACCTTGCACATCTTGTGGCTCAGCTACATATAGTCTGAAGAAACAAATAAAAGGGAGGGGAGGAGATACATCAAAATTTTTATGATTCTTCCTTTTCAAATAACTGTAACTTGTTTCTTGTTTTAAAACATTTTAAACTTAATGAGATCAATGAGGGACAGATTATTTGAAAAAAGTCAGGTAGAAGTATACATTTCTCTTCATGCATATGCAACCATTAGTACACACAGAAGCATAGTTTAAGTATTTAGGTACATTCATGTGACAAAGAAAAGGTTCTGACAAACTGACCCAGTCAAGAACTGCTTTAAAAAAATAATACCAAAAACTGAACTTGAAATTGGTCAGATTAGAAGATTCATATTTTGAATAGATAAACTCCAGACACTTTTATGTTTCCAAATCAAGTCCTAACTCAAAAAAATAGATCAACCTATAAAAATCTAATGCCTCATTTTACAGTATATTAGAATTTAATCCTGAGATTTCAGTTTCAAAGGATTTGTTTTCACCTATTATTATGTAACTCCAAAGTATGCTTTGTGTAAATTAACTATAAATTATTACTGTTTCTGTGAGAAACAATGCAAAATTTCATTAAACATAGGGGAAAATACAGAAGGGATAGTTTTATCTTACAGATTAATTGATAACTTCTGTGTGTTTCAATTTGATTCAAAAACTTTTTCACAAACTAAACTGCAATGAAGTAAAATCTCAAACATTCATAATTAAAATTATTTTACACCACTTTCCCTTCTGTTGGGGGAGAAAAAATATCAATAATTAAAAAAAAAAAAAATCCAAGCACTTACCAGATTTATGCTGCCAGTGGGAGACCCATTAAAAGACTCTAGGATCAGTGTGGAAGGGGAAAGGAAAAAACACATTAGAAGATTTTCTCCACTGCAGGGCCACACACAAGAAATAAAAATGCAAAGACAAAACACTGCGGAAAATAATGGACAACTGTGGCATTGGACAAAGTGTTGTACCCAATATATAAGTACTACAAGTTTCCAATAAAGACACCTAGAGGAAAAGTATGTAAGTTTATACAACTATAGATATGAAATAAATACTCCAGAGAACATTCCTTTTTAATCTTATATCACCACACGAAGTTTAATAGTTAAACAATTTCCATCAGAATTGTACAAGAAGAATGATTTTAATTGCTTTAAAAAGCCACATCTCCTATGCACTTCAATTTCTATTTTGAGATAAAGTATATAGTTATGTATTAAAACAATCCAACATGTTGCAGAACAAACAAGTTTTTCAAATATTTTTGAAAAAAAAAAAAAAGAGAATTAGAGTCATGTACTTATTTTAGCAACACACTTGTTACCACGACTTGACAAAAAATTCAATGAGATTAATCAAGTCAGTACAGAAAAAACACTATTTGACTCCCAAAACAATTTACAAAAAAAACACAAGGAGGAAACAATTTAAAAACCAGAGATACTACAGGAACTTTTTGATTTCTCAAAAACAGTGTGGATAATTTTCTGTTTTTCATTTTAAAGCAGAAGAATGGTCCCAGAAATCCCCCTTTCAGATACAGAGCTCACCTCCTTCACCATCATCTGATCCTCTGAAACTAGGATCCTTCAGCATATCCAGCTCAGCTAACATACGCACATACAACACATTCTGTTTGAACGAAGGGTAGAATCTTTCATCTCGCAGCATCAATTCATACACCTTATTGAAACAAAAATGCCAACCTTAGAAATACTTATTACATTTTTCAATTCATCAGGCAAGCTTTCATAAATCCTACTTGACCAACATGTATCTATGTTCCATTATGTGTCTCTGGGTTGCCTTTAAAAACTTAATGTGAGTCTGTGAAACTTCAATTCAGGCTTACTCTTAACAGAAAGGTTACAAGAACTAATTGTGCTAGAAGTATTAATACAGTCTCAGAAAGTACCTTTGTAACTAGTGAGACTAGGAAGCATGTGAACTGTAGCATGTGAATTGTAAATGTTTCCCTCCTCTCCTCCTAAATCATCCAATTGCCCTATACACGTTTGGTCTTTACCCATTTCACAACAGGTTACCTCTGAGTAGTCCTTTGCTGATAAACTTTAAATGTAGACCTGCAAACACTTAGGGGGAGAGGTGAGAAAAGGAAAAGGAAGGGAGGGAAGACACCCCATACTACTTGACTGAAAATTTCCAGTTCAGCCAATACAGCATATCCCTACCTCACAAAGATTTAACTACACCACCTCAAAGACTTATCTGTATAGCCTAAACAGTGACAGTATATGCACATATACACACATGTATCCATATGTAGTAGGAATTAATTCACAATGTTTGGATATTCATGTCAACTCCAGAATATTTTAATGATTTTTTTTTTTTCATGGAACACTTTGTACAAGTGCTACCACCCAGTAAGAATGGAAAAAAAAATTCACACAGGTCTGAGAAAGTCAATTTCTTTTCTAAAAAATGAGAAATTTATGCTCTTCAGCAGAAATCGCATGCAAGGCCCTTGTAACACTTTGACCAATTCAGATTTCACAAGATGTTTTCATTAGTCTTAAATGTGGGCATCAAGTACAATACAGTGATTCTAAGTTCTACAGCTCATATCACTAATTTTTAGCACGAATGAGAACATTAAGTTAATGACCTAAAATAAAAACCTCTCAGACTGGGTATATAATTTACTGACATTCACATATATATATATTAGACTTGAGCTACAAATTCTGCATATGCACATAGTAAAAAGACTGTTTTATCTTCAGTATTTGCTGCTTCTGAGTGCTATACTGTGCAGGCTTGCAGAAACAACAGTCAAATTAAATTCTAGAAAGAAATATAGATTTTAATATGGTAACATGCCTACACCCACCTTTGAAAAAGAGAGCTAAAACCAGACCAAAATTGTACCACTTCGTTATTCTACTTAAGCACCTTTTCTTAAATAGGTACATAAACAAAAATAATAATCTCTATTGCTTCGAAAACCATGGGCTACATATGGCTAAGCACAATTTGGCAATTTAGAGTATGATTTTTATAGCCTAGGAAAATGGTAAAACAGGTTTTAAGGTTTCAGGTATTTGAGTTCCTTCCTCCTTTTTCAGTGGTCATAGTGACATTTAATACCCTATAGCCTTTAACAGTTTTTATGAAACACAAGACAAAAAGAGTATACCTTTCTCTGAATGTCATCAAAGATTTCAGGTGTTGGATCCTCATGGTTCAGTGTTTCTGCCAGCTTTGCTACTAAGTTGTCATCAATATTAACTCTTGGAGATGCCTGTCATAGAGATCTAAATCAACTTTCGCTGTATAAAAATAAGCAAGCTTCTGTTTTCACAAATAAAACCCAATACAATTTTGCAATTCTTTAAGCAAACTAAATTTCATCTTGATGCTCCAAAACTGGTTAGAACACACAACAGGAGTCAGAACCCCTGCTCCCCCAAAATTAAATTCAGAGTTTGTATTAAAACTCAAAAGTTTCAGGATTAAACACTAAGAATCACCTCAAAAACTCGATGTACATTATTTTGAAGCAATACCTAAATCAGATTTACTCAGACTTAAAAACAGATTTTATTTGTTTATGAATAGAAAGATCTAGATTCAGAAATGAAGAATAAGCCAGTAAGAAAGTAAAGTCCTGAAACCTCTGAGGAAAGGCTAATGGTACCTCAACTCTGTCAATTTCTGGAGAGATTAACAGTAGCTGTTACAGTAAAGCTACTAGCATACTAACTACATTGGCCATCATATTCCCAGTCATCCCTTTGTATGACATATTTCAAGACACTGCCCTTTAACCATTCTTTTAGATGGGCCCAAGTTCACACACTTTCCCCATTTTCTGTAACAGAGGCTAGGAGCCAGCACTGAACCAGACCTAACATAGCCCACTTGATAGTTTAAGCACAACTGAGAAGCTGTGTTTATCGGTTTTGGAATAGCTCTGGTGATAGGTCGCTTCTGACTTCAAACTGGTGAGCATTCAGCCAGCTCAAAAACCCATCAGAGCAAGCTCTGCAGTCTAAAGCCCACCACATCGATAGACTACGGAGGTGAAAAACCAAAGTGAAAGAAATGATGCAGAAAGCAAAGCATTATATTTGTTAAGGGAAGCTCTTCAGTGAGTTGAGAGGTGATTTTTATACATATACAAATTGAGAACAAAGATGCTTTGTTAACACAAGTTGACGAGTGTTTTCTTACACAGAGGACTCCGTTGTTACAAGACCACTGGTAGCACTCAAGCTTAGCCTATTGAAAGATACCCAGCAGTGATATTTGAGCAATTTTACAGAAAATTGTAGAGAGGTACTGGAAGTTATTTCATTTTAAAACCCAATCTTAATCCAAGTTTGTACAAATACTGAGTTGCATCTTTTTGAAAACATTTCCTCTTGGAGGGAGGTCAGGGAGGAGGGCAGGGTGAAAAAAAGAGGACAGGACAGCACACACAAAGGGACAGGATTTCTTATTCTGTCTTCACATTTTCTCTAGTTTATCTTTATTCTAGAAAGTCAGCTTCTGAGGAACACATTCAGTGCATTTGACAGGACAGTCAGTGCCAGTATGAGCCTTTTTAAATGGAGAAGGAGTGAGAAAGACATTTTCTTACTGCTTGACAAAGGAGAGAGAAGATACACAGTAATAGCTTAAATAAAAACTTTAAAACAACTTGTGCTATATCACATCCATTTCATATTAACGTAGCCACAAGCACCAAAGAAGCATTTGTGCAAAGAATAAATTCTAAACAAATTCCAAACAATGCATAAGTTACTCTTACCTTTTCCGATAAATATTGCTCATAAACTCCAAATGCAGCTGCTCTTAATAGACCCTTAGTTTGATTAGTCTGATGTTTTCCATCTTTCTGCCTGCTTTGAAGTACCTCCAGCTGTTGCTGTGCCGTAACCCTGTATCCTTCCACTGTCATCCAGAAAAACAGATGTGCTTGGCCACCAGTCTGCTGCATGTAATCTACAGAAAACAGCCACCAGATAACCATAGTTACTGTTGTGCATCTTAGACTAAGAATTCTCTGTGATGCTAACTACATATGGAGCTGGAAGATCTGGTTACAGATCTGGAATACTTGTCATCTAGAATCAAAAAATGAAAAGTACTATATACATGTTGGTGATAATCGGTAAAATTGGGAGCAAAGTCTAGGAACTAAGCACTGAATCCTAAAATGCATATGTAAAAAGTGAATCCACCATTACCATATGGATGTAACAGTCTTATACAGCATGATACGAGTTGAGAAGAAGTTCAAACTAGAATTTTAACAAATCACGTACATCTACTGCATTAAAAGGACTATCACCACCAACAAAACTGATCGATATTCTTAGTAATGACCATAAGCATCCCAATTAATTCACAGAAGAGAATCAAACATTAGAAAGTACTAAAAATTAGTCATACAATTTTAATCTATCAATTTCTTGATTATATGATAAACCTAAAATAGTACACAAACTACTACTGTATTTTAGCTTCTCAAATAGACAACCTTCAGTAGCCTTGTAATCCTCTAAACTTCAGTCTAACATCTATAGTCATTTGTTTCATTAGCTTCAGTGAGACCAATTATAAATCACTAAGCAGCTCTTGCAGTGATTCTGTTCTGAACAGAACAAACTTGTGAAATAACAGACCAAGAAACATTGCAAGAACAGTCTTACAGGGATATCAGTATTGAAACAAGCTTGATACAAGCTTTGGAAGTAATGAGTAGGGTGTTCTGAACAGTTAATTATGGACTGATTTGCAAAAAAGGTTTTGGTTCCCTCTGGCAAGTGGCTTATACACATTTAGTGCTCAGTAGACACCTATATTTTACGTGTACAGTCCTGTGAGTTAGCATATTCTTTATAAATAAAAAAAAATCAGATAAATGAACACTTACCCATAAAAAACTGTAGTGCAACATTGTCTACTAGGATATGGTCCAGAGGGACTGTGCAAAGTTTTCCAAAGTTTGCTGCCAGTTTCACAGTATCTATTTCCTGTAAGATACAGTTCAGTGTGTTCATAGACTATATTTTTTTAATTAGCTTTTAAAACTTCTGCTTACCACAAACCAGAGGGAATAAAAAAAAATTTACATTACAGATAATAAAGCAGCCTTCTCAATAGTTAGTCACTTCCATAGTCACTAATAAGTGAAGATCTAGATAATAAGGTCATGTTCTCATAACTATTTGCCTTCGACATGGATGATTCCTGTTACATGGGAATCTGGCTTTTAACACTGCCATTGATCTAATACTATATACGTCAAATTAACTCCAAATCCCTAACCAGTGACGGTAGCATGAAAATTAATTAACAGGATGAACTAATTTCAGAATTTGAGGTGGTGCAGGTCACCACAACTTAGAATTAATCTCTGCCCAACTTTATTCTGTTATATTGACACTTCTCAGTATTACAGCAATGCTTCCAGATCCAGGTGTAGAATCCTTAAACATTTTAACAGTCAATATGCACAAGAATACATTACCTTGGAGCCACATCTAAGTCTCATTAGGAGAGTCAAGAAACTAATCAAAGATACTGACTCTGTTAGCCTTAAAATATAAAACAAAATAAGAAAAACAGCAAACAGAACTACATGAGGTTCTCAAATCTGACATCCAGTTTGCCTTAGGCTTTTCATACCTAAAGAGGCAAACATGTCTGACAACAGGCAACACATGGAGTCTACAAGGCATTGCAAATTAATCAGCAAGTGGTACCTTTATCAACAAGAAAAGAGATCTTTGCTGAAAACTAAGTTTGAGACACACAAGGTATGCACTGGAGCAGCAAAAAAGAACTGAATCTAGGTGTATAAATACAAAGATGCTTTGCATCAATGTAAGTTTAACTCTTGTATTGAGAAGATAAGAATAGCTTTAAGATGTACTGACATACCTAAACTACTTAAGCCAGAATCCAAAAAACTCTAAACATGTGAACCTTTAGAAATTCTTTCCATACTTAAAATGCAAATACAAGACTAACTGCAGTTGTATAATGTATTCTTAGAACTGCATACGAGTTGTGTTTCAAAACACAAGAATTAAAAAGCAAGACTGAACTAGTAAGTCATTTGCAGCTTCTCTTTCAGAACTAAAAAAAAATTCTAAAACACTTACTTTTCCTGACTGCAACCTCTGAATTCTTGAATCACATACTTTAATAACATATAATAAACTGTTTATTTGATTTTTTATAGTGTTGATATCTGAAAGCAAAAACAAAGAGGATTAAGCAATGCAGATAAGTAAACAAACTCTTGTTCAGAAACACTCTAAAAATATCATACAAAAAGTGAACTATGACTTACTAAACACATCAGCTTAGAAGGTTTATTTCAGTTTAAATACTTTACTGATAGAAGTGAACAAGAACAAATAGTTTTCTCTTTCCTTTTTCAGGTTAACTGTTAAATGACTACCCGTTAATGCCTAAAGTGTTACTGAATACTTGCACCACTTAGGCAGGTTTCAATTTAATGGGATTATACACACCCAATTAGTATATATTTAAAAAAAAAAAATCAGATATGAAGATTCCAGTTTTAACATTTCACATATAATTTATTTTTTAAATAACAAAATATGTTATACTATGCTGCATCAGAATATTTTTTTTAATATTCTTCAGAGATCTTGCTAGCAAATGTCATATTTTGTAAAATAAGACAGCACTAACCATCTCCCGCTGTATCTAGAGATCGAAGATATTGCAGTTCTTCACTTGCTTTATCTTTCACTGCTTCCAACTCTCCTATATTATCACTTAATTTAATAATATTCATAAAGGCCTCATAGTTACAGTTGGAATCACGAATCTGAAACAGAAGGTTTGCAGTGTGAATAATGCAAAAGAGGTAAAAGCACAACATGATTTTTCATTAAATGAATTATTTTGATACAGCACTGCAAAGTAACATTTTGAAAACACTCTAATGCTTCTAAACCTTCCTTTTTGATACTAAAATTTGACATGGACCAAGAAAGAGGAGGCATGCACATAGTCAACACCTATTTCACAACAGTATTTTCTGTTTTCAAGAAGTACAACAAAGACACATGGAAAGTGCGTCTGCCTACTTAATGAAGATCTTGTACAAAACCCCATCAACCTTCTTCTGCTATCACCCATCTCCGCAGCTAAGCAGGCAGAAACTGGTGAGACCACTAAAAAGGCTTCGTCTTTGCCAAGGTCCCCTCCATGTTCCCAATGTAACAGCTTCTTAAGATACAGAATTACAAAAAGAATTAAATGTAACCATAACCGACCAGGGAAGAAAAAAAAAAAATAAAAAAAAGGAAAAGAAGAAATTACCGAATTAACATCCTCTCTGAAACTGTAATTCAGATACCCTTGTAAATACTATTAAGATATTTCAATAAATACTATTTTCCCAGTATTGGCATAGTGTGACCTGCCCTGGGGACTCAAAGGAATTTGTACAAGTGAAGAAAGCCTGCTGTGCTGCCAAGATCACTGGAAACTGTGTTGTGAATACAGCATGAAGATCAGGGGAAGGTTGGCAGCTTTACAGCATGTGCACGCAGGTGCAAAGGGTTGAGTTCTAACACTGTCTTTACCATCTGAAGCCAAAAACAGTCACTTCATCCACATGTTTCATAAATGCTCACTTTATATGGAAAGGTAATATTTGGTCTGTACTGCAGAAATGCATTGACATGAGTTGCATGGAGCAGAAAGAATGAAGACTGGATACCTTTGACCAAAGTTAATTGAAACTCTTCCTAGAAACCTGCTTTTAAAAGTAATAGTACAAGCAATACCTGAACTTCAAATATTTTGTAAAGATCTGAATTTCACAGTGAAGAGAGACAAGTTTGGATTAACTTCTAATTTTATATTTAAGCTTTATATTTTATAGCAAGAGAATTAGTATTGAACTGTGGTATGCCTAGAAACATGGAATTAAACTTCTCATTTTCAGAAACCGATTTTTTTCATTCAAATCTGATTTTATGTCAAAGGTTCTCAAAGGAGCCAGAATTTATTTCAGTCATCTCTACTTCTGAACTGAATTTCTGCAACAATCTTCAGTTCATAAGACTTAGGTTACATTTCTGAAAGCATTTATTTTTCCTTATCTTTCCCCCAGCACATTTCCTTCCTCATCTCAGAAAGCAATTATGAAAATTAATATTTGGGACATCACCATCATAACAGAAAGCTTTATAAAAACCTCAAAATTCTATCTTTGGATGCAGCCGGGGGCAGTCCTTAGTAAATAAAGAACGAGGCCAAGTTACAAATAAAGAACATGCGTAGGAGGAAAGGCAAAACAAAAATTGAAAAGCTTGGTCCATATGAGCAGCAGTATTTTTCTTATTAAAGCTAGGTTCCTGTGGAAAAGCAATGTGCAAACTTTTACATTAAATGGAAGTGGCTGGAATGAAGGAAACATCGTACACACACACGTGAATTCATTCCACACATAAGAACATTTACTCTGAAATCAGAGTGTTTTCAGCGTAACACTTGAATGCACACTACACAATATATGAGTAAAACTAGAAATAACTTGGGGAAAAAAAAAACCAACAAACTTGAATCATGACCTATAAGGGACAATAAACTATAAGGGTAAGTTTTAAGCTGCTTTGCAAAAAATCAATAACATTAATTAAAGTGTGAATATTTTATTCATGTTAATTTTACTATGTATTACTACTTTTAAAAGTTTGGGGATTTTTTTGCAGGTGCATTAGAGAGATACCAAAGCAAAGACTTTGCTTCTTCACATTCAGTTAAATTATTAAGGGTTACCACAAGTACCCCTGAAACAATCACCTTGAGATTCTTTAGCAGAAGCAAAAAAGCCCCAATCTTACTACTGGACATTCTAGAGGCCTCTTAAGCTTTAAAGGACACATCATAAAAAGAGTCACTGAAAAAAACTTCCAAAGTTACTTTCATACCTCCTGAACAGCTAAGTCAGAGGACTTAACTTCTACACTTCGTCATACATCTGTCAGTCAGGCAATTTTTGCCAAATAACCACAACACAGAGTACAGATAACACACATAGAGTTTGAATGTGTGTATGTATGTGTGTATGTGTATACATATATATATATAAAACCCAATGTAGCAGCCATAAGTTGACTGTCTCTGCCAAAATATCCATTTGCAACTTTTCTACCAGATATCTATCTGCCATGATTACAAGGAATATAAATAAAGCTTTATATGAAAACATTTTGGAAATATAATTCATTTTAAATGTTATAAATCTTACCATCCATATGACATACTGATTAATATAATCAGGATCACTGAGCTGGTTTATTAATGGAAGAAGAATTCCTCGGGAGAGGATTTCCTGAAAAACAAAATATAATAAATCATTTTATACATTTATTCATAAAGCTAACAACTGCAACAATTCAAAAATTGCTGTGTAGAGTGTAAATAAAAAATTAAACATTTAATAGGCATTAGCACATTCCCTTCCAATTAATAACAGAAAATGTTAATGTCTCAAGAAAAAACATCCATTTTATCACGCTCTTCTAATGTTGACAGTGGTAAAAGAAACTTCAAAAACATTACATAAGAAATGTTCTCTTCTATTAAATATTTATCAATATTGTACTGCATTTAAAATACATTAAATTAGATCAATTTTACAAAATAAAATAAGAAGAGCAGTTCAGATCTAAAATTTTTTATGACATTAAACAAAAGAATTGAGATGGCTTTTAGAGTCTGTACTTACCCTGACAAAGTATCGCATGATCTTGTTCTGGAAGTCTCCAGGAGGTAGCAATATATACAGTAAAACCTCACACAGATCCCTTAGGAATCCTAGGGAGGGAAAACAAAAAAACCTCAGCACAATTTTATGTTATGTAATTTCATATCTTACCTGATATCATAAAAACCAACAGACAAATCCTTAAAATTAAATTAAAATAGACAGTCATATATATTCTTATAGTCCAAGCATCACAGTAACACCATTCAATATAAGCAGCACTGAATTTAAACCCAGCAGACAGAACCCAAGTCTCAAAACCAAGACAAATAAAGCCAAATTCCAAGAACCAAAAAACTAACTCCAGTGTATTTTCCTGATTTAACATGTGCAGGGTTTTTTCCCCTCCTTCACTCTTTGCCCAAAAAGATAAACTGGTTTTTTTAATGAAGACTATGCAGAAGTGATAAGGAAAGCAGATCTAACAAAAAGCAAGAAGAATCTGCAAAGCCATCCCCTGCCTCCTAGAAAACACTTCTATCTTACAATTCCAATGAAAAGAAGAACAGCTACATACATACACACTTTGCTATAATTACAGTATTAAAATGTACAAATCAGAGGAAATATACATGTGTAGCAGATAATCATGCTTTGAAAGTCTCATGCTAAGATTTCAGTATATTTCATATTGTGAACACAACTGTTAGTATTTTAATTTTGTCTGCTATACTAAAATAACTTCAGAAGATAATAGTGAGAGACCTTCTTCATCTTTGGGAGAAGTGCAGACTAGATCACGACAGACTTCTTTTTCCATTTCAACTTCAACCTCAAAGAATGTATCTACAAGTTCCTCAGCATGGTCTATACAAAAGAAAATAGAAAAACTTTTTTTTGGTAAAGATTAGAAATTTGAACTATAAAATACAGAAAGAAACATTTTTTTTGTAAAGATTAGAAATTTGAACTATAAAATAAAGCTATATATATTTCACACACGTAAGATACCTGCCTACTCAGACTCAAATAAAAAAATACTTAAGTCACTACACTACCTTTCATCTGATCACCTTTCTCTGCTATTCTTTGCTGAGCTTTTCTGAAAACTCGAAGATGAGTGCCAAAGTCATCAACAAGCCGTGTAGTGAAATAAGGCTGCCAGTCTGTTTCCTTTGACCTATAAGAAAAGGACATCCATGAAAATGAATTATTTTATCCTGAACACAAAGAGCAATAATAAATTTCTACCTCTCCTTTCTCCCTGCCAAAAACCACACTGATTGTAAACATGGAAAAGCAAAGAAATAAATCAGTCTCCTAATTGCCTATCCACTGAAAACAAATCAAATATTGTAAAATACTAGTCTTGCATCACATTAATATTTATGCTTGAATTACTTTAATGTCAACACTAGTATCTGGAACAGTGTTCTGATTAATGCCATTGTCAAATATCTGTGAAAAATCTTGACATAAACACTCTACAGCCTAACACTAAAATACTTCCCAGGTCTTTTTCAGTCAGACTTTCTAGCATTTTGGAAGGCACCTAAACAAAATAATTTTCTTCTGAATTTGCAGTATATGCATGAGTGAGAACACACACGTTTCACTTGAAGCTACAAGCAACCTAATATTATCAACAATTTATTCCACAGCTTATATGAGGTAATTAGCATGAATCTGCAAGAACACACATAGGTTAGCATCAGAAATTAGCCACTGTGCATAAAACTACTTACTTAGTGGTATGAAAAATATCCAGAGATATTCTTACAAAGTCCATGCCCTACTTGCCAAACAGAAAAGGCACTTGTGCATTATAGGTTTAATGAAGCTAGGTGTTAGTGATGTTTTTTACTCTGCACTAAGTATACTACTACCTGAACTCTCTCAGATACTTTGTTACAGCAGAATCCTTCTGCAATATTTCCTTTTTTACGTTTGTTCCCTTGCCTGCTCTTTCTTCCCTCAAAGAGAGAGAAAGGGATAAGGAACTCTGGAAGAGAGTGAAGTCTACTGCAAAATCTAGATGTGGAAATAAGAAGTGGAGCTGTCTCAAAGAGCAGTCAGCTAAACCCACCAACAATCAGATCCACTATCCGCACAATCAACAAAATACATAATTACACTAGGTGGCAGCCTTACATCATTCTCCCAAATGTGCAAGTTTCAAGGAAAAAAAAAAAAAGTCCCACTGTACTTACTCCCTCCAGAAGCTCACAGGGTATATGAAATTATAGATGATGGTACTAATCTAAGACTGCTACAGCCATATCCAACTACAATGATCATAAATACATTAGATCATTTTCTCTTAATAATAACAATCATTTGCTGCAGCCCTGTGAAACACAACTGCACAGCAGTGGTGGCTGTTTTTGAAGAGCTATAGTACTGTAGGGAACAAAATTAAATTTGCTATAACTTGACTTGCTTTGACACAAACCCAGTGTGTGATACTGTTCAATGAAGCAACTTCACCAAACAGACAAAAACATCACAGTTGGGCAGCTAGGTCCATTTCATGTAAGCACAGGATTGCTTGCTGTAACGTACTGTTTATGTAGCCTAGTTTTCACTATTTCCAACACTGTATCCTGGCATTTCCATTATTTCAAAATTAATAAGATTTTATTATAAAGATCTTTTCCTAACATTAAACCTCTCTCACCATCTTTGACCCTTCTTGCCAGAAAAGCACACCGATCTGCATTTACAAGTCAACAGAGGGAAAGGGTAACAATACCTCAAAATTGCTAAGAAGTTTATTATATTTAAGTGACTCACGACCTCTTCTGAAGAGAAAACAGGTAACAATCTTTGACCTTTCTTGCCAGAAAAGCACACCGATCAAGTCAACAGAGGGAAAGGGTAACAATACCTCAAAATTGCTAAGAAGTTTATTATATTTAAGTGACTCACGACCTCTTCTGAAGAGAAAACAGGTAACAATCAGCATACTGGGATGAATACCTGAAATCACTACTTAATAAAAAAGTTGAGAGACACAAAGGCATGCGGTACCTGAGCTGAGAAAGGAGCCACACTAAAGAAGATAAATAATGTCCGAGACAAGTTCCCTGACTTCCTGTTACTTCATTAAGCAACAGCAGAAAAGAGACAAGTAACAAACTATCCATTTGTTCTGAACCAACCCTACTTTTAAAAAAGATTTACGTATGTGACATATAATTTCATTCCCCAGATTACTATTCCTTTAAAAATACCAATTGTTCTTACATATTGAAGAGCAAGACCACGTCTTTTAGAAGTTATCAGAGCTGATACAGACATTTGAATCAAAGGCTTTCAGACTGACGTACACTGGGAATGGCCCTGCTGTTTACATGACACAAATTGCATATAAAAAGGTGATGATTCATACAACTCAATGCCCAAATTGCAGAAAAAAAAAGCTATTTGGTAATTTTAGACATTAATCAAAACTTTGAAAAGGCCATTTTGCAAAAGACCATAACTACAAACATCTTCTGCATTGATTCCTTAAGGGAACAGCAAAAGACTGTAGTGCCTAGATTATGATCTCAAAATATTACATGCTCTTTCTGTAAAATGCACTGAACTATGTCAGCAGATAAACTTAACCGTTTATCTACTACCATACAACCCACAGAGGTCTCTGTACACTTGCTTAGGTGTATTGATGTAAATACAAATCGTCTTACCTGGCAGAAAACTGAACAAGTGCATACTGAAGAGCCTGCCTGATTTCCAGAAGAAACGATTCATCATCACTTAGTGTGTAATACCAATACTGCACATAGTCTCTCAGGGAAAACTGGATTACCTGAAATTGGAAAGGAAAAAAGAGGAACTAATGAATAAAAGACAACAAAACACAAAATAGTTTTTTGTGCCTGATAACAAAACAGCAGTCTTAAAAGGCTAACATAGCGAACCATACTCCCCTACGATTTTTAAATAGTGAGTGAAACAATACAACTCACATATTGGTTTACATGCATTCATCACTGCTGCGCTGAGAAACTGTAATATACAGAAAACAGACTCAAATATTGCCCAGTATTCTGGCCCATCTTCAATGTTTTTTTCACTTACCACTCTCAAGTATGACAAAATTTCTCAACTTCTACTTGTTTCTCAACTACTTAGATAATACATAGTCACTGCATGCAAAAATAAAAATAGCTTAAAGAGTCCTGGTTCAAGCTTACCTGTTGCAAAGGCTCATCAATTATATTCGCACCCGTCAGTCTTCTGTCAATCTTAATAGGTCTGGCTTCACGTTTCATCTCTTCTACGCACTTGAAAGAGATTAGGAAACGTAATTTGCACATTTTAGCTATAATTAGAAATCAGCTCTACTGTTTATGATTTATGTATACTTCCAGTAACAACTTCATACAACATTTTCCCTATTGTTATAATTTATAGAGTAGATAGGATACAATATCTATATTTTTTCACTATATAATAAATAACGGTGAGGAACTAACCTGAAAACCTACTTCTTGCTTACAGTAAAGGAGTAAGTTTGCTAAAATACTACATCAGAAGGAAATAAAATTCAAATAGTTACGGAAGGAGGGAGGGAAGGATGTGACAGCAGCACACATTTGTAAGGTCCCTGTTCTTACTTGATTATGAACTTCCTGTGCAACCTCAGGCAGGTGACTGTTCAGTTGTTTGGTTTTTTTTTTTTTCCTTTGTCCATCTCAGTTTATTCCATATGCCAGAAGAGAAATTACTCTTCTGTACAATCACTACTTGACAGAGAAGTCTTTAAAAAGTAATAGATGAGGGGGTAAAAAGTTATTTTATAGAAGGACTTGCAAGTCAGAGCAGTTAACTCCAGTAATGACTTCATCAGAGCTGACTTTTGGCAAGTGACGTACTGAACAAGAACACCCTATCAGTGGTTCTCTGAGTGCACTAATACAGCGTCTTCCTACAAACTAAAGACAAAATCTGCAATAAACTCAACAACCTACACTATTGTTCAAAAAAATCAAGTGATTTTATTCTTTGATTGAGAAAGTTATGACTTTGTTAAAAACATAGAACTGCCAAAAACCATAAATTAAAAAATTATAAACCATATGTCCAGTGTTTCTATTCTATGACTATCCCTAAGTATCTTTCATTCAAACCAGTTAACAGTGAATGGCAGTGAAATACCAGAGTCCAGAAAACATTCCTCCTTCTACTTAACCAACTCTGCATCACAAAAGTATTTTGTTGCAAAATTCTGTATATTTTTTAACTTTCAAGAAAAGGGAATGGTTCAATGCTACTCTTATATGAATAAAGTTGACTCGTATTCAAATACTCCAGCTATATAGTAATGAGTTTGCAAAATATTTTTGTCTTGCTGATGTCAAAAAAATACCAAAAAAAAAATCAGAATGGCATGATTACATATTTTTACTAAGCACAGCATAGTTCAAATCGCCAAGCAAAACTGTTAAAACAGAGTTTTGAAGTCTGAGGACTGAATGCATAAGACCATTATTTGCAAAACACAAAGAAAAAGCAGTAGCAAAAAAAGCAGCAGGCAGGAGTAAGAGAAAGAGGGACACACAGAGAATACACAACGTTTCTTGGTAAAAATCTGAATGTTCTTAAGAGCAGAAGAATCAGGTTTGGGTCTGGATTTCAGGAAGTCTTATTGTCCAAACTCCTGCTCAAAGCAGGGCCAACTAGGAGGTTGGACCATTCTTTCGTATTATTTTTTCTCCAGTTAAATGTTTATGTACACGCATTATAATTCCATTTGCTTTGGATACCTCTGAAGACATCTAAATTTTAGTGTATCTGCTTTTATTTCACTGCAGCTACAATAGCTGACTGCAGCTCTCCCTTGAAAAGCATTGCTGGTTTTAAGCCTGGCCTTCTGACACTGACTTGGAAGACAGACTTAAAAGAATGACCCAACTCACATGAAGAAAACTGTCTTATTTGACTGTCACTTCATACACAACTAGTCTGATATACTCTACAAGTATCAAATCATTAGGTAGGAATTAGTTAGGAATTTAATATCACTTGTTATTGTTAAATTTGACACCTACTTATTTCATTTTAAGCAGGTAGGAAGCACTTAGGAGGAGCATGGGACATACACTCCAAAGTGAGATGCGGCAGACTAAAGAAACCCAGCCTCCTCAAGGAGATAATTGCAGTGACTGAGTAGACTTCAGACTTTTGCTTTGCTGCACTAATAGGAATTCTAAAGTCCTTTTTTGAAACTATACTAGGTAACCGATAAATATGAAAAATGTCTCATTCAGACTGTGCCACTATTTCCCAGATCACATACTTGCTGTCACAGGCTTTCATGAGTGGAAAAGACACAGGGGATTTACACATCTGCGTCAAATCCCTAACACAGCATATGACCAACTGACTCAAAATAAAGAGATTCAGAGACTAGTCAGGGATCAAAAAAGCAGCTAGCACTTGGAACAGTGATAACAATTTACTTCACAGTAATTTAGCAATACTGTATCCAACCTACAGAAACTCATTGTCTTTTGGATGAAGCATAAGAGCCATCAATTATGATAATAACTGGATATTCCATACTTCTGTTAAAGTTGGACTGAATCTATAATTTTTATTCAAAACAGCATTCCAGTTAACAGTTCAGAGGGCTCTAAACTTCCCTTTCATTCAACAGTTTAATATAAACCTGCAGACAATAACATATCTTACAGAGCCAGTACATTAAGGCATCAGCAAGTACATTCCTGAGACAAAAGTTATATAAAACAGCCTTGCAAAAGGAAAAGCAAATCTAATCCCAATTTTTATACCTCCCTGTACATAACTATTTCTCCTTAATGTTAAGCATTCATCATATATTCACTAATAAGTATAATACCCAGCAACCAAGGAAACCTATCTGCACCAAATCCTGTGGTATAACTTAAGAGTCTGGTACATTCTATACATTATTTCCATCCACAGTTCTCGTGCTCTGAAGTACAACTGATTTCATTAAAATCAAGCATTTGAACATTCATCTTAGCCTAAAAAAATCCCCTAACAACAAAAACCACTCAAAACAATTAATAAAATTCTGTCTGTGTTTGGGGAAAAGAGCTTCTTACGGAGAACCTATATCATCAGATTACGTCTCAAAATACAGTATCAAAAAATAATTCACTATTGAGGTGAATTCAGTTTGTACTTGGTTCATGGAAGAAGCATAACTTACACACTAGCCACTTGAAAAAGTATTTGTTGTTCAAGACAGATCACTTAAGGCCACAGTGGTTTTAAAGATGAAAACAATTTCAAGTTAAAAAAACCTATTTTCCAACAAAGATAAGTCAGCAGAAATTTAATACAGCAATGGCAAATAGGAATCCCAAGCAAATCACACATTTGGTTTTGGTTAGAACACATCTCTTCTTGTACTGCTACTGAAAAGCTCAGCTAAACTAGCTAATGCTGTTTTAATACAGTGGCAAAAAGGAAATACAAAACACTATTGTAGAAGACAAACAGATTCCAGTTGGAAAACAACTTCAAAAAGCATTTGATAAACCAGCTAAAAATAAACACCTTCGCACTATGAAACTTAAGTCCAGAGATCAGTCAAAACAGGTCAGTTGAGATAAGTGGTGTCAGTTATTCACACTCAAATCAGAATTCAAAATACTGAATTTGCAAGGATTACACAAAAAACCCCACAATATTTTATTATTTTATAAAGCAACCAGAGCATATGTATGTACTGAGCTCAAAAAAGTAACACTAACACAAGAAAAGTTTCAGCAATGTAGAGGAAATTTAAAAGACAGAAAAACTTCTTGTAAATCTTCTCTCAAAACATGAGACATAAGCAACACTCCACAATCAATATGAGCACTGTAGTCTATACAGCACAAGAAGTCTTAGTCTGTTAAAATGAGATTTCACTAACAGAAGAGAATCATTAGCTGACTGCTGACTTGCCTTTTTTCAGCCTTAAACTTTATATTTTTCATTTGGACTAGTGACAACACTTTAACATACTTAAGTTTCAGATTTATCTCAACAGATTCAAGGACTTAAGTGAAAAAAACACTTACCAAATGAGCTATGAACCAGTCACAAAAAAAGTTCTGTGATTAGAGAACATACTGTTGCATCACAAAATAAATTTCTATGTGCTACTGATAATAAAGTTCACAGACAAGAGGAAGTATAGTGACCTGACAGCTAAGATAAAGTAGGATGTTTCAGTCAAAACAGTTGTGAGATTAAACGTAACGAAACTACCAAACTTTGGGTTAAAGTGTTTTCTCTGTTCTGATGAGGGCACATGGATTAGGCCACGATCCAGAGCTGCCAAAATGTATTGGTTCATAAACCAGGCATTCCTAGAAGTTCTGCCTCTTGGCTATTAAGAATCTATTCTGTACTAAACAGATGCAGATTTATCCATTTAGGAACTCTGAATTTACGTTCAGCAATGAAAATTACGTGTCTGCTAACAAATCAGAAAAAAAGAAAAGAGTTGAAAAGGGGATCCCACTGCTGCTCCATATTTATATATGCATTTCCAGGATCCTTGCTCAGTCTCAAAGATAGACAAAGATGGTAACTTCTACATCCATAAAGTACTATAAATCTAGATTTTATTACAGCCTAATCTTAGTTAGGCAAGCAACTTTACAACCACAAACAATCAAAAGACTCAAAACTGGTGAGACTACAGATCCCGTGATGAAACAATCCTAAACAGTCACAACAATCATGCAACAAAAAGCAAGAAGGAGCTACCACTCGTCCCCCAGAAAAACACCACACACACAAGTAGTCTAGAAAGGAATGGTTTAACAATTCCCTCACAGATAATATTAGCCAGTTACATGTTACTCACTTCTCATAATGAAGCCTTGCAACAAACTTTCCATAAATGCTTAAAAAGCTTGTATTTCTAAGAAAGAAAAAAATCTAGCGTTTCACTTGCAAATTGCAGTTGCCTGAAAATGTAAAAGCAGACTTTTTTACCCTTGGGAAATGGTTACAATTCTTAGATTGAAACTGATTACTAGTGTTATTCTGATTTTCAAAGTTATAAAATCTGATCTAGAAGTTAAGACCAGTAAACTATCCTTACCTTAGGGATCCCAACTGATGTACAAGGAAGAAACGAATGTTCACACTGTTCAAGGTATTTTTCTGAGTTGCTTTTTCCAAATAAAAGAGTAACCACAAAACCCCTAAAAAGGAAAAATAAAGACCAGCTAGAACAAGTCACCTTTTCCCTCCCTCCAGAAAATACTTCACAGCAGGTTATAAAATTACAATATATGACAATTCTCACTGTCTACTCTCCTAGTACAGTGCTCTTTTACACTGCAGCATGCTGCTCAAAATAACTGACATAAGTATGAAGTTTCCAAGTTTTGTATTATCAGTCCTGACATATTCTTATCACTCAGCAGATCTATATAGCACAGCCAACACTACACAGCTGCAGCATGCAGAACCTCTGATGGCATGCTACCTATGCTCACAAATATTAGTACACAGAAAGAGGAGTACATACATACGTTGCTCTGGTTTTATTTATACAAATACTCTTTTACTTCAACACTATGAAGAAATAGACTCTTTAGAGAGACTTTTAGGCCATTCCATTACAGCACAAGCCCCAGAAACACAGATCTGGAAGAAACTGATGTAGTAACTACTGACTGTGTATGTTTAAACAAGTAAGAAAATTTGCAACTTAAACTACAAAGAAAAATCAAACCAAAACAAACCAGTAGTCCTGCCAGGCTGAACAAGAACAGAGTCAAGGAAAAAGCCAAACACAAGGTGTTGGGTTTTATTTAGGTCGTACGTTTTTTAGGGTGTTGGGATTTTTTGGTTTTTGGTGGTGGTGTTTTCTTTTAATTAATTCAGCGTATAAAATCTAAATAAATGCACTCCTGGACCATTTAAAAAGTTAGATCAGAAATTCATTATCTTCTTCCCTCACAATTCTACAATGATATTTAAATTATGACTTATAGCTAAGTAGGACAGCAGTTAATTTTATTATTGTTTTCTTTATGATATAATGAAGGCATAACAGAAAAAGCAACCACTACAAAAAGGTCAACCTTGCTACAACAGCAATAATTTATTTACAGCTTAAGACACTAGGGCACAAAAACAAAAACATAAAGCTGGTTTTACTAAGAAACAGATAAAAACCTAAAAGCTGTGCCAATTATAGCACAAAGCATGTAGCCTTTGAAAAGTCAAGTATAAAAAAAAAAGAAAAAAGAGAGAATATGAGGTTACTGCTGCTCAGACTAGCCTTGGGATGGCTAAACATGAATAGCATTTTACACAAATTTCGAAGTACTCCACTTAAAGGCCAGCTGACCAACATTTGTGACCACAGGAAGTCACAAAGTTACTCCATGCCTGAAACATCTGAAATAATAAATTCTATTAATACAGATTGCTGTTGACAAATGATACTCATAAGATTAGAATGAAATTCCTAATCAAGGTAAAATATGCCATTTGAACATTTTAATTCCCAAACTGAGAACCATTCTTTTTAAGTACTCCAGAGGCTCAGTAATTCAGAAGCAGGGAGGTGGTATTTATACTTAAACAACTCCAGGGAGAAAAAACAAAACAAAAAAACCCCGCAAAAGCTACATAAAATTATTATTGGTAACTTGATAATACATAAGAAAATTTCACTTGATACTCTGATTCTGTTACAGCCATCTTTATCTGCCAAAAACATGTACTTCCTACATATGAGGACAAAACAATAAAAGTAGGTCTAATTGCTCTTCTGCTCCAGATACTTGCAGAGAGCTTTAAAATCATACCACCCAATGGTGCCAGTAGCATCATAATTCAGTTCAAGGACAAAAACTTGCTTAGAAAAATCTCAATATTAGTTTCACATGCTTAAAAGTTAACTAATGTTTTGGTTTGGGGAGGGAGCTGCATTGCTGTTTCGGTTTTTTAATTATTAAAAAGTTTGATTTTTCTTTTTATTATCTACCACTTTTCTAATAGAAACCTCAGTCTTCTTTTAAAGAAAACTGCACGCAAAATGCATTTGTTCAGGGACAAAAACCAGTTTTAACTTCAAACATATATCAGCAACTTAGGAGTGTGGAAGGCATGACAAGGAGGGAAGAGGTACTTCTTTCATTCAAAAGGATTAAAGCCTCGACAATGACTAGCTATAGGTTATACATGGGTTTTCGCTCAAATGTTATGCACCTTTTAAAGTTAATGACTCACTGAAAAACACTAATAGGCTACCAACAGAGTTTAAATATATGCTCATCTTCTTAGATACCTTCAAGAATTTTAATTTCTTAATCTAGCAATGCCAGGAGCTTCTGCCTCTACAGCAGAAATTAATACATTTAAATTTAAAATGTATTAATTAAATTAATTAAAATAATTTAAAATCTTTTGCACACAAGAGAAGGATACACAGCCTGACCATTCGGTGTATCCATTAGCTAACCAGAAACTTCTAGTGTAAATGCTTATCTAACTCATGAAGATGGGAAAAAAGGAAGACCCGGGAAACTACAGGCCGGCCAGTCTTACCTCTGTGCCTGGCAAGATCATGGAGCAGATCCTCCTGGAAACTATGCTAAGGCCCATGGAAAACAAGGAGGTGATTGATGATGGCCAACATGGCTTCACCAAGGGCAAATCGTGCCTGACAAATTTGGTGACCTTCTATGACAGGGCCACAGCACTGGTGGGGAAGGGAAGCATCTACCTGGACTTGTGCAAAGCCTTTGACACTGTCCCACATGACATCCTTGTCTCTAAATTAGAGACATGGATTTGACGGAAGAACCACTTGCTGGATAAGAAATTGGCTAAACGGCTGCACTCAAGGAGTTGTGGTCAATGGCTCTATGTCCAAGTGGAGACCAGTGACAAGCGGCGTTCCACAGGGGTCGGTACTGGGACTGGTGTTGTTTAACATCTTTGTCGGCAACACGGACAGCAGGATCAAGTGCACCCTCAGCAAGTTTGCCGATGACACCAAGGGTGTGGTGTGGCATCGTGGACACACTGGAGAGAAGGGTTGCCATCAATAGGGACTTTGACAGGCTTGAGAAGCGGGCCAATGCAAATCTCATGAAGTTCACAACAAGGCCAAGCGCAAGGTCCTGCAGGTGGGTCAAGGCAATCCCAAGCACAAATACAGACTGGGTGGAAAATGGATTGACAGCAACCCTGGGGAGAAGGACTTGGGGGTGTTGGTTGATGAAAAGCTCAACATGAGCTGGCAATGTGCACTTGCAGCCCAGAAAGCCAACCGTGTCCTGG